GGGGGGAGGGTGGAGAGGTGGGGCAAGACCCAGGAGGGCTGAGGGGAGTAAGAAGGGCAGGAGCCAAGACAGCAGAGGATGGTGAGGGGAGGATGGGAAACACAGCAGCAAAGGGGAAAAGGGAGAGGTTTATAACTTAGGTGCCACAGAGGCACACGTCCGAACAAGCACGCATGACCTCAGTATTAGAATCATAGAATAATAGGACTGGAAGGGACCTCAAGAGGTCATCGAGTCCAGCCCCCCGCCCTCAAGGCAGGACCAAGCTCCACCTACACCATCCCTGACAGATGTCTATCTAACCTGTTCTTAAATATCTCCAGAGAGGGAGATTCCACCACCTCCCTTGGCAATTTATTCCAATATTTGACCACCCTGACAGTTAGGAATTTTTTCCTAATGTCCAATCTAAACCTCCCCTGCTGCACTTTAAGCCCATTACTCCTTGTCCTGTCCTCAGAAACCAAGAGGAACAAATTTTCTCCTTCCTCCTTGTGACACCCTTTTAGATATTTGAAAACCTCTATCATGTCCCCCCTTAATCTTCTTTTTTCCAAACTAAACAAGCCCAGTTCATGAAGCCTGGCTTCATAGGTCATATTCTCTAGACCTTTAATCATTCTTGTCGCTCTTCTCTGTACCCTTTCCAATTTCTCCACATCTTTCTTGAAATGTGGCGCCCAGAACTGGACACAGGACAAAAATTCACAAGTGCACAAGACAAAAATTCACTCCACTCATGGATGTAAAAATTTTAAAGAGGGAATGCTGTACACTAGTACAGGTTAAATCTCTCTAATCCAGCACCCATGGAACCTGCCCAGTGCCAAGCTTACCAAACCACAGGAAGTCAATATTGTCTAGCCACATTACCAACACTGCCACTGCTTACCGGGCTCTTAGAAGACGTTTAGGGATATAATAGCACTATATAGCAGCACAGAACACTGAAAACCAGGACTGGTGACTAAACCAATTTTATGGGTCTGCAGGAGACTTGGCCATACCCATGATAAGTGGACATCTGGCTATCTAAAACCATGCTGGACCATGGATATTGCTGAACCAAAGAGTGACAGACTAGAGAGCTTCAACCTGTAATGTAGAGCATTAGAGAAATAGTCAGTGCTTTCAATTACATACTAGTTTCTTGTGGTTATGGTTTATAGGAGTGTGCAGGATTCCGTGGGATGAATGGAATTTTCACATGTTGTTTAAACAATTGCACAGAATGCTACAGAGTACACTGTATATTCCCTGCACCTTTCAATGGACTGCATTGCTTCAGACCATTTGTAGATATTCTCTGGAACTAAATGCACAAACAGAAAAAGTTAAATCACATCAAGATTTTAGTGTTAATGCTTGAGCATCCAGGTCCTAGAATACTATTAACGGAAGTCTTGCATATTCATATCGTCACATTATACAATGTTGCAGACATATTTATAAACAATAGTCATCACCATACCAACTTACACGCATGCTCTAGTGCATTACTGTAAAATACACATTTCTGAATGAAACCAAGGGCATTCAAATATTGTACATTGCAGATCTCAACGATAAGTGTGTGCTATATTTCTTTAATACAATTCCAGGTACTGTTTACAGTTTTAACCCACATATTTCTTCATGGCTCATTTAAGAAAAAGAATATAAATCCAGTTTTGTTGCTGTAACTAAAGTTGTCAATTGAGTCCATATTTTAGAAGGAAATGCAATCTGGGACAAAGTAATATAGATATTGCATATTTAAAGGAAAAAAACCCAAAATTCCATAACAAACTCAAAGATCTAAGGATAATTTCACCAACTGCTGAAGACAATGTAAGGAGTCAGAAAGTTTAAAAAAAGACCAACAACAAAACACAAGAAAATGTTTAAAAATACCTTTACAATAGAGAGTACTTCTTATTTTCAAGGTTTTGTAAAGGTAAAAGGAATTACATCTGTTAGCTGACTGATACCCTGCCAATCATGCAGAGAGAAAAATAGATTTTTCTGATATCTCCTATAAGAAATTTTCTAATTCTTATTACACATGGAGATTATATATTTATGTTAATTTCATAGAATTTAATAACTGCCCCCAATAGAAAGTACTTTAAATCAATATCAGTCTATACATTGCTGCTGTATTATAGCAGATGTACTATACTGTGTAATTATGTATAAAATATTATTTCTGGTATTTGTCCATCCTCTATCGATGTACCATTGTTGTTACCAGGTGAACTAGAGAAAGAAAAGCAGGTTTTGCTAGCAGTGGGAGATTCATGGATTACTTTCTTCAATCCTTTCGTACCATAATGGGAATCAGGACCCTAATATAAACAACAAAAGAAGTTAGCTACATTTTCTCCACTTTAGTTATTTAGTGAGCAGAAAGATTTAATTTATATAAAACTATCACACACACACAAATTTTAATGACATCCTATACTAGTACTATTCAAGATTCTCCACAGGTACCACAGAGTCCTGGAGCTTATTATAACCTTTGAAAGGAGAATTCAAACACACTTTGTCTGCTCTTTATCTGGCAACTAATATGCCAAAATTATTGTATTGTGTGTATTCACTATATAAGCCTGTACTAATCTTTAAAGTGTTAGGAACTTCTGGTACGCAGATTTGTTAAAAACTTTTTATTTTTATTATCCTTCCCCCCCCCCCACCAAAAAAACCCCTCACAACTTTCCCCCCCAAAAAAACAAAACAAAACTCAGGAGCTTTTAATAATGGACAAAGCAGCCCATTATGTTTAATGGAGAGCTTTTTTTAGTAGAAGTAATACAGGTAACAGTTAAATCTGAGCTTAAGAAAATTTAAAACATTTTTAAGTATATAATTGATTATTGAGGAAGATATCTACAGCTAACACAAAGGATAGATTCAAGTTTTGATGCAAATTTAACACTATTGCAAATGCACATTTCCACCGTTGCAAATAAACAGCTTCAAAATTCTATCAGGTAGTAACATTTTTTGAAAGTAAATCAGCCACTAAAGTTATAAAACTCTGCATCTCAAAATTTGTCTACTTACAAACGGGACACTCCATTAAACTTACAGGAAACAACTACCACACAATAAAAAAGAAGCATCCCATAGGAGATTTCCATTTTTATTCCAGCCCTAGTACGCCAGGTAGAATTGTGTAATAATCCCAGCTTTGGCCTTGAGGAGAATTTCTCCAATGCAGGCACGGAGGAATAGACACTGGCTCTCTTTCAAGGGCTCTCTCGCAAACTCTAATATAGGGGACATGTCACAGATGGGCTGAGAGCAATAGAGAGAAGAATTGCAATGCTGAAAAATGTAGGAAAAGTTGTTGTCCATAGGCAGCAGACAATAGTTACAGTGAGATTTGCTCCAATTCCTGGAACAGCTCAGCACTCAAAAGGCATAAAGTCACATCAGCTCCACCATCCCCTTAACAGCCTACTCCAAAACTAATTGTCTAGTTTTGCTTTTGATGTGCTTTAGAAAAAAAAAAAAGAGACTTAGAGGATGTTTCCCTACCAGATAATGGTTTAAAGCTGGGTAAAACAGATTCCAAACAACTTTATTACATTCATTTTACACTCTTACTCTTAAGGTATGCTTACTTTGAGTGTTGCACAAGCTGTGTAGGAGATGGTTGGCAAAATTTCTATAGGTTCTTTAAACATAACTCTGAATGTATTAGCAGTTCCATCACAACTAAATCCAGTATCATTTTGTCCCAGTGTTTGATTTTTTTCATATTCAATTATCTGTATTAAAATAAAAAATAAAAGTGTGTCCTTTTCCTTGTTAACTAGCTTACAGTTTTGAAGAAAACTCTAGTCACAAAAAAAAAAAAATCCAACCCAGCATCAACATAGGTAACTGTCTCATTCTGGGATACAGTTCAAACTAGCAAGAGGTTTTGTTGTTGTCCACCTCACAATGGTTTGTTGTTGTAGCTCCCAACGTAGGCCACTTCCAAACAGCTTACCAGCATGCAGGTCACACCCGCAGTGTCTGTGTATACCTGTAGCTTAGGGATGTTAGACAGAGTGTAACTGCACAAAATTTTAGCAGTTACACAACTATTTGATAGTCCCTGAGGGCAGGACTGGCAGCTAGTGTGCTTCTGACCCCACTCCTGGGAGACCCTGCCACCCCACCCTGCTGCCTCTGTATCAGAGGCAGCAGTGCAGGGTGGCAGGTGGAAGCTGGTCTACGAGGGCAGTCGGTTTAAAAAACAGCTTCCTGCCTGCTGCGCCATGCTGTCCAGGCTGCTCCCCACAGGCACCAGCTCCCGTCTGCCCTATGCTGCCCCTGATACAGAGGCAGCAAATGGAGGAGGGAAGGGTGAGTGTAGTTGACAGGATTAACCAATAAACCTAGGCTTATCAGTGAATCATGTAGCCGTCTACATGCTGACATTCCTAATGGAGCCATGATCCAACAGCTCTTCAAATAAGTGATAAAGTTAGAAATTACTACAAACAAATACAAGTGAAAACATATCTAGAGAACTAAAACTTAATCTAGAAGTTTTTGTTCAAGGCATTTTTTCAAGACTGCCATTGCCCCTTGCAAGCAAGATGGTACCTGACCCTTTCCTTGGTCAGGTTTTCTCCTAAAGGCCCAAAGTTGCTTGTGCCTTAAGAATCTGGGTTCCCTATTCCTTTATTTTATAGTCCAGTGAACCTTGGAAATAAGATTCTTCTGAAGATAACTATTCAGAGTAAAATTTATCCAAGCAGTAAGGAAGGCAACATGGAGTTTGATGATGAAGGAAGATCAATGCTTTCTTCCCCACTTGTTTTTACTGAAATGCAAATTGTTCCATTTCCTGTCACCTCTTTCTCCTGCTAATGGGCCTATTTAATAACTTATTGCCTAGGCAGGGGCTTTCTGGTTTTATCTTATGCTAAGAATATCATACAGAGGGAATTCATAACTTTACATGTACTGTTGCTACATATATTTCACTATGATATTATGAATAATGAGTTATTAGTTTTCACATGTGACCCTATAAAACACATTTTGTACAAAGATTATTACAAAGGTGTGTAAGATGTGAATAAACAGATGCTTTCACTCCAAAAAAGACTATTTACATTAGAATAAGCATTACAGGTTCCCTGTTCCATCCAATTTAACACAAAGGGTAGTACAAGCTCAGTGGGGGAATCTGCTGATGAGACAATTAACAGATCTGGAATTTTAATGAATGGGATAATTCAGCCTGTCGTGCTGAGAAGCAAGACCCAGGAATATCAACCTATTTAAAAAATTAAAAATGTCCTGGAGAAATATTAGGACTTAAGTAAACATATACTGCTGTCCAGGACACCTTTAAAGAATACATATATTTATAAACAAACAGGTGCTCACTAGGGGTGTAAGAGACTAGTCGACTATCCAATAAGAAAAGCTTATCGGATACTCAAAAAGTGATGCAAATAGTCACTTCTCCCCCTTTGCTGCCTCTATTGGAGAGGGGCAGCAAGGTGGAGGAACAGGAACGTTTTTCTCCAGCACTGTCTCCATGGGGAGCAGGGAAGGTAAGAGGCACAGCGGGGAACGACACGAGAGGGGACTAAAGCAGTCTCTGCTTGTGCCGCTTCTGCTGCAATTCTGCTTTTGAAATGTACAAGAGCCCTGCTGGGGCTCTTGTACATTTCAAAGTCTGAGGTGCAGAAGGGAGCACGGGGCCAGCGGGGGTCCCCGACTGGTCCCACGCTCCCTATGGGGTTTTCGCTTTAGAACTGTAGCAAGAGCCAGCAAGAGCCAGGGAGGGTTCTTGCTATAGTTCAAAGGTGGAGGTGCCCTTATAGACTAATTGAGTAGTCAATGGAAATCCCATCAACTATTTGATTAATTACCTAATCTAAATTTAACATCTCTAGTACACACTGACAGATCTTCAAGCATATCATTGCATTCTTGAAAGAATGCAGGAACTAGGGACGTAAAATCCCACTTCATCAGTTACCTGATTAAATGTTAGTTTGACCTAACATTTGACCAGGTAAATAACTAAAGTGGGATCTGAACTGGGGACTACTCCAGCCCAGCTGGGGCTGAGGCTGCCACCATCGCCTAGAACTGCTCCAAACGAGAGCAGCTCCTGTCCATGGTGGGCCACTTGTGGGGTTGGAGCAGCCCCCTGCCCACGGCAGGCAGAGAGCTGCTCCATCTCCCACCAGTTGCCAGTTAACCTTTCACAACCCTAGTAGGAACAACTGTTTCAGAAGGTTGAAAAAGCTACCAGAGGAGAAGCTGTTCTGGATTTGATTTTAACAAATAGGGAGGAACTAGTTGAGAACTTGAAAGTGGAAGACAATATGGGGGACAGTGATCATGAAATAATAGAGTTCATGATCTTAAGGAAAGGTAGAAGGGAGACCAGCACAATTGAGGTAATGGATTTCAGGAAGGCAGATTTTGATAAGCTCAGAGAACTTGTAGGTAAGGTCCCATGGGAAGCAAGACTGAAGGGAAAAACAACTGAGGAGAGTTGGAAGTATTTCAAAGGGACGTTGTTAAGGGCCCAAAAGCAAACAATTCCGCTGTGTAGGAAAGATAGAAAATATGGCAAAAGACCAGCTTGGCTTAACAAGGAGATCTTGCACAATCTCAAAATAAAAAAGGAGTCATATAAAAAATGGAAACTAGGACAAATAACAAAGGATGAATATAGGCAAGCAACACAGGAATGCAGGGGCAAGATTAGAAAGGCAAAGGCACAAAATGAGATCAAACTAGCTACAGGCATAAAGGGAAACAAGAAGACCTTTTATAAATACATTAAAAGCAAGAGGAAGACCAAGGACAGGGTAGGCCCACTGCTCAGTGAGGAGGGAGAAGCAGTAACAGGAAACTTGGAAATGGCGGAGATGCTCAATGACTTCTTTGTTTCGGTCTTCACCGAGAAGTCTGGAGGTGTGCCTAACGTAGTGAATACAAGCAGAGAGAGGGTAAGTTTAGAAGATAGGATACACAAAGAACAAGTTAAAAATCACTTAGGAAAGTTAGATGTCAGCAAGTCACCAGGTCCTGATGAAATGCATCCCAGGATACTCAAGGAGCTGATAGAGGAGGTATCTGAGCCTTTAGCTATGATCTTTGAAAAATCATGGCAGACAGGGGAGATTCCAGAAGACTGGAAAAGGGCAAATATTGTGCCCATCTATAAAAAGGGGAATAAGAACAACCCAGGAAACTACAGACCGGTCAGTTTAACGTCTGTCCCAGGGAAGATAATGGAGCAGGTAATTAAGGAAATCATATGCAAACACTTGGAAGGTAATAAAGTGATAGGGAATAGCCAGCATGGGTTTGTGAAGAACAAGTCATGCCAAACTAATCTGATAGCTTTCTTTGATAAGATAACGAGCCTTGTGGATAAGGGAGAAGCGGTGGATGTCATATACCTAGACTTTAGTAAGGCATTTGATACGGTCTCGCATGATATTCTTATTGATAAACTAGGCAAATATAACTTAGATAGGGCCACGATAAGGTGGGTGCATAATTGGCTGGATAACCGTAGTCAGAGAGTTGTTGTTAACGGTTCTAAATCCTGCTGGAAAGGGATAACAAGTGGAGTTCCTCAAGGGTCTGTTTTGGGACCCATACTGTTCAATATCTTCATCAATGATGTAGATATTGGGATAGAGAGTACGCTTATTAAGTTTGCAGATGATACCAAACTGGGTGGGGTTGCAACTTCTTTGGAGGATAGGGACATAATTCAAAATGACCTTAGCAAGTTAGAGAAATGGTCAGAGGTAAACAGGATGAGGTTTAATAAAGAGAAATGCAAAGTGCTCCACTTAGGAAGGAACAATCAGTTCCATACATACAAGATGGGAAGCGACTGTCTAGGAAGGAGCATGGCAGAAAGGGATCTAGGGGTCATAGTGGACCACAAGTTGAATATGAGTCAACAGTGTGATGCTGTTGCAAAAAAAGCAAATATGATTCTAGGTTGTATCAACAGGTGTGTTGTAAGCAAAACTCGTGAAGTCATTCTGCCGCTCTACTCTGCACTAGTTAGGCCTCAGCTGGAGTACTGTGTCCAGTTCTGGGCGCCACATTTCAAGAAAGATGTGGAGAAATTGGAAAGGGTACAGAGAAGAGCAACAAGAATGATTAAAGGTTTAGAGAACATGACCTATGAAGCCAGGCTTCATGAACTGGGCTTGTTTAGTTTGGAAAAAAGAAGATTAAGGGGGGACATGATAGCGGTTTTCAAATATCTAAAAGGGTGTCACAAGGAGGAAGGAGAAAATTTGTTCCTCTTGGTTTCTGAGGACAGGACAAGGAGTAATGGGCTTAAAGTGCAGCAGGGGAGGTTTAGATTGGACATTAGGAAAAAATTCCTAACTGTCAGGGTGGTCAAATATTGGAATAAATTGCCAAGGGAGGTGGTGGAATCTCCCTCTCTGGAGATATTTAAGAACAGGTTAGATAGACATCTGTCAGGGATGGTGTAGACGGAGCTTGGTCCTGCCTTGAGGGCGGGGGGCTGGACTCGATGACCTCTCGAGGTCCCTTCCAGTCCTATGATTCTATGATTCTACAGTATCATATGCCTACACAATTCTGGTTTTATTTTATGTTCATTTTAGAGATAATACTCTGGACCATAAATTCCATGCATCTCACATAATTCTTGTGTTAGCTTGCTAAAACTATTCCTATTCTCCCCTTAAAAATAAGAAAGTAACACACCTCTAGGATTCTTGCTCTCCTTGACAGTGGCAATTCCTGATCCATATAACTGGGACAGTTCTTGTAGAACTTGGCCAGCAAAATATCAGGATAATATGCCTACCTAATTTTTCTTGTACTAGCAACCACAAATCTCAGTTGGCAACAGGACCCTATTATTTCTCATTGTGTAATATTTAACGCATGAAAGAATTGCAATAAAAAAAAGTTTGCACAGAATAGGGCTGAAAAAGCTTAGTTTTATTTCTCAGTCATACTCAAGGGACAAACAATAGAATCATACTGTTGTAGTCAATGCACATTTTCATATATGTCATACTCTATCTGGACTGAATAACTGCTCAGCCCACATCAAATTCATAGTAAGCCTTATTTAAGTATTGTTCCTTGTACCAAATTTAGTTTCTACAAAGCGAATTAGTGAAAAATTTACTATACCTGTATATTGACTTGATAATCTGTGGGTCCATGAATAGATCCATACAATCCAAATCCCACTATGGAAATCCTTCTATTAACTGTGAACCTGACACAGGACAAAGGCTAGTTATATGCATCACATTTCAACAATAGTCACAGGGGTCGGACCTTGCTCCCAACTCAGTCAGTGGAACATAGGGATGCCAGCGTGTAGTCAACTACATGATTAACCGATAAACCCTGGCTTATTAGTTAATTCTGTCGACTACATGCACTTCCCCTCCCCATTGCTGCCTCTATATCAGAGGCAGCAAGAGGGAGCAGGGGCCGGTGCCCATGAGGAGTGGGCTTTAAGGAGACTCTCCCCCCAAGCACCAGATCCTCTGATAGAGACGCAACAGCATGAAGGGTGAGGGGGGCAGGCTGTAGCCGATACGCGCGGGGAACCGAATTTCAAGCGGGGACGTGTCTGCCCCCTCCCCTTGCTGCCTCCTAGAAAGGCAACAAAGTGGGGAAGGCAGGGGCTGATTCTGTGGGGAGCCAGCTTAAAAGCCAGCTCCCCCCAGCACCGGGTCCATGGTGCCACCTGCCTCCCTCTCATGCTGCTGCCTCATGGACAAAAACTGCTCTGCATCCCATAGAGCAGACTCTAAACTGGCTCCCCTGATAAACCAGTTCCTGCCTCCCACCCCACACTACTGTCTCTGTAAAAGAGGTAGCAGCGCTGTATAGCAGTGGGCACCATGGGAATGGGGCCAGGAACACTCGCTGGCTGCCGCCATATCCCCAGGGACTATCAAATAGTCAATAGCCGCCAAGATTTCATGCAGTTGCACAGCTATTCAATTACACAATATCTAATGTCCCTAGTGGAACAACTGCCCTGGATTTAAAAGGTGCTGGATCAAGCCCAGGATCTGGTCCTATATACAATATAATACAGCAAACCAAGAGATGGCATCCTAAGACCTCAATTTTACTGTTAAAAGCACCAATATTCCACAAGATTCATTCTGAAGGACTCAGCATCCTGAATCATAAAAATACCTCTACTTTGAAGAGCTCTGAAAGGAACATTTTAACAGTTGCCATTTAAAATGTGACAATATACCTCAATCTATTCTTCAAGAATTGGTCTTTATTCTAAAAGCTTTTATCTATGCATATGCACATAGAGTGTACTTTTTTGTAATAGACAGCAAATGTTGTATCCATGCTGAATCAGTATGTTGCTACTTTCAATACCACAAAGCAGTATTTGAGTCACATGTTTTCTTCTCCTTGGACACCTCATGACAAATACCTGATTCGGTCACTTGTTCCGCTGTACCCCCAACGGCTCTCCACTTGCTGGAACCTGTTTATGCTGCATTCTTTTCCTCTGAGGCAACATCTTGGTCGGTCAATATAATCAACTCTAGGTTTAGGATTGACCGTAAAATGCAGAAAGAGATTTACCACTTCCCGATCTGACAAAATTCCAGACTGAGCAGGACCTAGGAATAGAAGAATCATGTTTCTGAGAAAATGATACGCTTTAGAAATTAGTTTTCAATTGTCATATAGCTTTTTTTAAAATAAACCATGCAAAGATTATTATGATTATCTCAAACTAGTGCTATTTTTGCAAGACGGACTACTTTGACAGCAGGGTATGAAATGCATGTGTTACTAACCCGGTAGTTATGAAAAAGGACTAAACTTACACCTGTTAGTAGATCATATTTCTCCAAATTACATTAACATATTAGTAAGATAAAGTAGCCCACAATTACCTGCTGCAAACTCTTCAATAGTCATTAGTGGAAAACGGATTAGAGATAAAGCTTTTCCAAGCACTTTCTGTTTGTTTCCTGATGTCACAGGCAGCTGCTGTCTTTGACACTCTGCTTCTGCCCAGCGAACAACAGCTCCAAAGAGTCTATTTTCTCGAATACTAAGTGTGTCTCTTTCTAGTACTGCACATAGTGTGTCTGAAGAAAAAAAGTGATTAATAAATTTAAGTAATTATCTCCTCTCATAGCAATTTCAGTCTTTACAGGTTAAGTCATCTGAAAAGTAGTTTTTAAATTATACAACGTAAGTTAAGAATAAGCTACTTGATTAAAGAGCCAAAACTACTTTAATAGAACAGAAAACTGATTAAATACACATGTAAGATCTGTTTAAGGACTAAATAAATGTACTGAAAAAACAAAAAACCCACCACAGATAAGACAATTTTGTCTTACGTGTAAATCAGTCTTCTGGGACAGTGTACAGCATCCAATCCAACAGGTTTTGTCCTGCCCGCCTCCTGCTATAAAACAGCATATGAACTTTCTTCTTGATTCCTGAGACTAGGACTACATATCTATGTATAGTGCCAAACTGCAGCTCTCATTGTCCCAAAGAGTATTTCCAAAACTAGAGCAAGATCAAAAAAGGAAGTGATCGAGCAGATTGGTGAATGTACGACTATAGGAAAGCCAAATTAATTATAATGTCCTCATTTGAGTGTCCATCTGCCAATCTGGATCAACTATTGAGATGTAAAAACCAGCAGAATGCACAAAAAGAAAAAAAATACAGTGTAAGGATATATTAAAAGCAACCTTTTAAACAGACAGACATAACATCTGAAAAATGAAAAGCTGCACTAGGTGTTCCAACTCTTTTATACACACACACACACACACACACACACCAAATTTAAGTGGGATCGTGTAAGTCATAATTTTACAGACCTCTCCACATGAAAGTTTTGTTCTTCACACAGAACCTATTAAAATAGGCACAAATCTATGCCAGGAATGCTGCTGATACTAGAAAAAGCTTCAGTAATGGCCATCTAATAGGTGACTATAGATAATTTGTCCTTCTTTGGTAACCTCTGTAAATGTGACCATATCCATTTTCCTAAAAAAAATTGTTCCTGTGGAAAAGAGTAATCACTTCTGACATTCATAGATTGTAATTGCATCTACTTAGACTGGGAAATGTCCTGATTTAAGTGGAAAGGCAAATTAATTATTATATTTATTCCACAGTTGCACTTGCTAGCCCTAATTATGGCCCAGTACCCATTATGCTAGACACTGTACAAACACAGACCAGTTCTGTAGAGAATTTCAATAAACATTTTCCTATAGCCTTGATATGATCTAAGCTATGAACCTAGCCCCGCCAAGAATAGCAGCAGTAGATGACATTCCAGAACCTAAAGATGACTAGAGGTGTTCCTGAGATTCTTCTGAACTAGTCACCCAAAGTAAGGATTTCAGGATCCCAATCAGGAAGGGAGGGTCTCCTTGCACTCAACTGGTCAGCCCACAAAGACTTGAAAAGAGTACAGAATAGACAATTGGACAATGTCTGCACCTGAGAACATAACACTGAAGGCCCCAACTGTTAGGTATGAATGATGTAGGAGTTCTCAAACAAGGCTAGAATGGTTGAAAAAGCTCTGTCTAGAGAAGATGATGAAAGAGACAATGATATGAAAACCAACTCCTGGGGAAGAATGCACTATGGCAGAACAAGGGAGGGTTTTTTCCTAAAGTAATTCACACAACACATTTTATGATTTTAAAAATAATTTAAATATTTTCCCCTTGTTTACCCATCATAGCACTTTCTGAATAAGACCTGTGAATATTTTCTAATAAAATATTTGAAAGTGTGCCCAGCTCTACTAGCCTCCCCATTTATCAAAACACACACCAGGTATGCAGAACTGATGTTTTGAACAAGATATATTGGAGCTGTTTCTAAGTATTTGGACCAGAAACTTATTCAAATAGTGGAAAAATCGGATTACCTTCCTCCTTAAGAGCTGGTTACTGCAGTACTCTGAATATGGAGAAAACACTGTTGGTGCCAGATGGAAAGGATCATGTACTGGAAACAGTCCCTATCCAAGTAGAATCGAAGAAACTTGTGAAACGTGGGGATGAGCACAGACAAGCAGTTATACAAATCCCAACACAGGAAGTTTAAGGAGAGGGTGGTTCAACTTTCTTTTTTTGTAAACAATATCCAGAATATCCACCCTCAATCTGAACTTTCTTCTTTGCATCCAACTGATTTTGAAACAAGTTTTGGATATAAGTTCCATCATGACTGTGTCTCAAACTGGATTGACAAAGGGACTGGGTCCTGAGTGAGTACTGAGATAACTCATTTCTGTCCAGATCATGAGTGCACATGGGAGACCATAGGCCACAAAAGGATACATTTAAACCATAATATACACCCTGTCTTAGCTGAACTCCAGTCAGCAGACCCTGTATTTGTTAACTTAGGTCTTAAGCATTTATTTATAACCTCAAGTTAGGAATTGCTGAATCCTGGGTCCCAATTTGAGGCTCCAGCACCTGTGCTGCAGTATGCAGGCCCAAATTCAACCATCCATATTTCAGATTTCCTAACAGATCAGGAAGTATAAGGGCCATACCCTGCACCTCAGTTGGGTTCACGCCAGAAAAGAAACCAGATATCCTTTCCAGAGAGCTGAACTCCCCATGGAGCCTATGGTTAGCTGCAGTGGACAATGATGATGCTCCTAAGCCAGCCTGAAGAAAAGCAAGTTGTGGCCACAGAAGATGAAGGATAGAGTGAGCTTGGCAAAGAGCTGGGGAACCAGGCCCCAGTGACTTCAGAAACCAACCTAACCAGATGCCAGTAAAAAGAAGCTAAGAAAAATGAGACTTTGGGACTGTTGTGTTTCCAAGACAGTGACCTCATGTTTCCCTGCTGGCCCCATCTTGGACTGTTGTTCCAAGACTTTGGTCTGGAACCTGGTGGAGCAGAATAGGCCAGGTCCATGTACTCCCAGTCCCAGTGGGGCTAGGCAACCACTAATTTCTAGATTAAGGAACCTGGGCCATTGCCTGTTTGTTTCTCAGCCTAGGCCCAGAAGGTCCGACTCCTTATCTATCACTTTAGCCTTCAGGAAGGAGCCCCTAGACACGGACCTCTTATTAGTCCAGCCCCCATCCAGGAAGCTTAAGCTACCACATGCCAAGGGGCTCAAATGCAAAGAAGGATGACTGGTTGCCCCAGTCAGGTATAAGCACCAATTCCCCACCATTCAAGGTGGTGCCCTAGAAGTCAGCATGTGGGACTGTGGAATATTTTTGGCAGGTACTCAGAGCACCAGTCCAATGGGGCTGCATTTTATACTGTAATGCAACAGAGCTTATCCCAGCTTGAGTCAGGCTCAAACTCTTCACCCCCATGGGGTCCAGGCCCCTCAATGAGAGTTCTGAGTTAAGACTATTTAAATGGATGGAGTGCTAGATTTGAACTCTGAATGTACACTGCAGTGTGGATGCACCCAAAACGTAGGGAAGAGAAAAAGACAATATTAGTAAGATAGAAAACTCAGTAGCTGAACGTTAGTAGTTTTCTGAAATAGTAAGCATGCATCTGCACTAGCTGCAAGGAAGGATTGTATGTATTTTGCATTCAAAGGCATGCCAGGTATTTTACAAACAGAAAAGAGGAAAAGTTCCTGTCCCAAACAGTCAGCAGCTAAAAAAGAACATATAAACTAGGGACAGTGGATAAAAAGATGCAAATTAGCATATTATGCTCTTAGCACTCATTTTCTTGTTTATAATTTATCCTTTAGTTTTATATGTAAGGGCAATCTGAATCAACTTGAGCCTAATTTATTCACTGTTTAATCCTTTTCTGAATTCCAATTCATCCCACTGTCACCCGGCTCCAAGACAAATACATGAATTAATTTTAGTATAGAATTCTATTGTTTCTTCCTTCCCTGGCCTCCAACAAAATAAGCTTCTGTCCCATTTTTTATTGTGTATTTAAAACCTCATATTATTTCCTCCCCCTTACCTCTACACAGACACTCTTCCTAACACTAAAACATTACTGAGATTGATTCTCCTGCCAATAATCTGTTCCCTCCTGGGAGTCTAGGCCTGAGCCCATTCACAGGCTGGAAACTGCTGTCAGTTTGTGCTATTTACAGTAATATGTTTAATCAAGAAGAATACACATATGCTGCTTTCATAGCTGAAAGTAGGCAGGACCTACTGGATTGGCAAATGGACACTCGAAGAAGAATAATTAAACCATAATGCTTCAACTGTAACTCAACATGCCACAAAGGAATTTACAAAACCAATTTCTCTTTTTTTGAGAGACTGACAGCAATTTGTTGTAAACCCAATGACAGGCAGTATCAGTCACAGTAGTGAACTAAAGCAAAATTAGAGGCAGCTCTATAAATACGGCATCTATAGTAAACAGGACCAAGCCAGAGGAAAACACTCCAGACTTCTAAGTCAACAGGTATTCAAGCTTTTTGTTTTATTTTAATTTTATTTTCCCAGATTTAATCAAACATCACACACAAAGTATTATTAGAACAGAAATGTATAGCCAAATCTCAGAACAAATCTTCAAACATGCCTTGAGGATATGAAAGTGTAACAATCACAGCAAGGTACATCTAATTTTAATGCATTTAGATCTTGTATTCAAACTTCCTAATTTATAGCAAGTGCTATAAAATTAACTGATACTAATGTTAGTGTATGTTTCTTCTGCCACGATAAAAAATGAGTACACTATAGTAGGGATGTAATAGTGAAGTTGGTTAACTGATTAGCATTAATCGATAAGTTTTTGCTTTAGACTACAAGCAAATTCCTTGCATTCCTTCCCCTACCAGTAATTTTTTTAGCAGGCTGGCCAGCAGGCTGGCTCAGTCCCAGCTTGTGCCAGGTCTGGGACCTACCCCTGCTGCAGCTCTGCATTTAAAGTGTATTAGAAGCCAGGCAGGCAGACAGCCTGGCTCGGTTCCGGCTTGAGCCGAGTCTGGGAGCTCAGACCCGCCCTGGACAGGGGCTACTGCCACTCTGCACTGCTGTCTCTGTATCAGAGACAGCAGCACTGGGCGATAGGCAGCTAGTCTGTGAGGGGAGCTGGTTTTTAAACTAGTTCCCCTTGGGGACCAGCTCCTGCATGGCACCCCATGCTGCTGCCTCTGATAAAGAGACAGCATCACAGAGTGGCAGAGGGCTCTTTGGGAGTGGGGCTGGAGCACAAGTAATCGATAAGAATTCATGCGGTTAATCAACTATTCAATTAACTGATATTTAACATTCCTATACTATAGTGGCCCAAATAATAATGTACCACTAAAATTCATAATCTAATTAGCCAACATAGACTAGCACATAAAAATGTTTGCTTCATCTTTTAAAATGGTACTGAGGTAAATTCCTTGCACTTTTGTTCTAATCAATGTGAGCATACATTTTAAAAAGCTGATCATAATCATGGTCAAGTTAAAACACCAGTTTCAAGACTCTAATATCCTGAAACCCACATGATGAGAAGGATTTATATGGTCAAGTTAAACAAGTCAATCAGGACTAATTTATTTTTTTAATGGCTAAGCCTTTGGCAGTTCTCTAATGTGGAGATTTTTATATATGAGAATCTTTTAGAACCTATGCCTTGTACATGTTTCAGTGCAGGCTTTGAACAAAAGGTAACTGTTTAACAGTGCAAGTCAGTAGAGTTCTTTTACAAAGATTAAATACATATTAAGATAATAAAAGGCAACGTACCTATGTCAATATCAGTAAAACCTTCTGCACTTATTGCATCCATTGTGCTTTTGTCTATAGTATCAAGACAAAGACTTGCAAGCTGAGGTTCATCAAATAATCGAGCCTATGGAGAGAATATATTGTTTGCAGACAAACGGTTTGAATTTGGTGTTATAACCAACAGATTTATGAAGTAACCCAAACAACTACTTTTTTAACTCCACAACAATGGATACATTCTATTTAGACAGCCTCAATTTACCTTTCAAGTATTCCTTGAATGTGTGTCAAACAGCTCTTGAATGATGTACTTCATTAATAGATTTTGTATCAGATTTCTCCAATTCTCCTTCCTGAATATTATTATTACACTGCCAAAGACAAATCTCTATATTTGAAATTGCAAGTCAAAACTACAATACTGGATCAAAATAGACAAGGTTCTCAGAGAGCCTTAGATTCATTCATTAGACTATTAATGTTAATAGCACTGAAAAGAGAACAGGCCCCATATGTTTATGATGTTCCAATAAATATATAAAATAAGTTTATTTACAAGGCCCTTTTCCTTTATGTTATTTCCTACTCAAGAAGCTGAGACACATGCAAGCTGAGTGACATTGGTATGACACAGATTACTACACAGACTATACTACCTAGAAATCTAACACCATGTAAAATAGTAACTCTTTGGTGATGATTTAAACAACATTTTCATAATAAACCAAAATTTTATTTGAGTTACCTGGGTAAGAAGCATAAAGGCATTATCTGCTCTAAGGTGTTTAGTGAGAAAATCCACACAATGTGCTTCCAGGGCTGGGACTGCATATTTCTTGGCAGTGTAAAGAGTAGTCATAACAGTTTCAGGACCAATCTGCACTTCATCTGAATAAAGAAACCTGGAAATAGTACACAAACACCAAAGGATAAAAGAAATGTATCTGAGGAACACCTCAACATACCAACTACGTTTAAAAACAGGATTAACAGCCTCTTTGTACTGACAAAACAAATTAAAGAATTGCACTAAAAATTGGCACTACAGGCAGTCCCCGGGTTACGTACAAGATAGGGACTGTAGGTTTGTTCTTAAGTTGAATCTGTATGTAAGTCGGAACTGGCATCCAGATTCAGCTGCTGCTGAAACTGACCAGCGGCTGACTACAGGAAGCCAGAGGCAGAGTTGCGCTGGTCAATTTCAGCAGCTGCTGACTTGGGGACGCCTGGGGCAGAGCAACTTGGGTGCTCCTGGGTTGCTCCAGTAGCGCCGCTCCTCGGCGCTA